CTAATCTATACTAATCTATACTAATCTATACTAATCTATACTAATCTATCTCACAGGTGTCAAACTGCTGCTCTATCTGGTTCTAATCTACAACAAGATGTGAAGTTCAGAACCAGCCTGAGAAAAATAAAAACAATTAGGAAAAATGAAGCATTTATTTTAGAAATTTACGTGAAATACAAGAAGAGAAGGATCTATTTATGAGATGGAGGCGCCATCTAAAGGGCCTAGAACCTGCTTCATGTTTGGTCTGTTCTTCATCCAACCTTTATTTCTACAGGTTAGTCTCATTGAGCCTCCAGGACTCATTTACAGGAGAGACCTGATTTCAACAAACACAGAACCATCATTTTTGTCCTGTTGAGCCTCTGTATTGTCAAAAATAATGTCTTCATCCAAACCACCCACAAGTCTGCTAGATCCCATCCCCACCAGATTATTTAAAGACGTATTTCAATAAATTAATAACCACGTCTTGGATTACGTACCACAGAGCTTTAAGATTGCTGTAATTAAACCTTTACTTAACACCTGGAGAGCTGGTGAAGGAAGAACAACCTTCACATCAATATGAAGACACGCCCCCACCCCCAACATAGGGGGATCTGCAGTGGAAGTGGTCTCCAGCTACAAGTACTTGGGTGTACACATGAATGACAACCTCAGCTGGAGCAACAACACCACCAGCCTGATGAAGAAAGCTCATCAGAGACTCTACTTCCTCAGGCGGCTGAGACGAGCTGGTCTGGAAGCTCAGTCCTCACCTCCTTCTACAGGTGTGCAGTGGAGAGCATCCTGTGCTCCAGCATCAACGTGTGGCATGGAGGCTGCACAGCTGCAGAAAGAAAAGCTTTGCAGAGAGTGGTGAAGGCTGCACAGAAGATGTTGGAGTCAGTCTCCCCACCATCACAGACATCTACACCTCCAGATGCAGGAAGAGGACCACCTGCATCATGAAGGACCCCACTCACCCAGCACACACACTTTTTGCCCCACTCCCCTCAGGAAGGAGGTTGAGGAGCATTAAGTGTAGAACCACTAGACTGAGGAACAGCTTCTACCCTGAGGCTGTTAGACTCATGAATCTCTAACCAGGAGAATCACTGTGAAAAATCACATCATGTTGCTGCTGATCTGTTTCATGTTGCTGCTGATCTGTTTCATGTTGCTGCTGATCTATTTCATGTTGCTATGTACATTCGTGCTCTTCTGCTCACACAGACTCATGTTCATGCTGCTGTTTTGACGTATTGTTTATTGTACTCAGCCCTCTGTGAACAGTAAACAGCCATCAGGTGCTAATGATCCATTGTTAGGCTGATGGTCCTTCTTGAGCATGTGATCAGCTGGTTCTGGTTGTCAACAGCAAACTGGTTGATCCACTCTGAGAAGGTGCTATTTAAGAGACTGAGCTGAAAACAGCACCTCAGACTGAGGAAGTCCTCAGGATGAGAGACGAAACGTTTATACTTTTTTTTTGTTTTGCTTTGTTTTGTTTTTTTGAATGTCCAGAGGACCAGATTTAACTTTTTTAGATTGTTTTTGTACTATTAGTGCTTAGCGTATTTTAGTTGATGTTTTTCTTAGTTCATATCTTAGATCTTATTACTGTTTTTATTTTACACTTCACTGTTGGATGTAACTGGGACCCTGTGAACATAATCTCGTTTCACCACATGTACCACATGTGATGTAAATTACCAATAAAAAACTCTGACTCTGATAACCTTGACTCAGGAATCCTAGCCAATTATAGACCTATATCTAATCTAGCTTTCATCTAAAAAAAATTCTAGTTAAAATAGTTGCGGTGAGTTATGTGATCATCATCTGCAAAGAAATAATCTGAAGAGTTTCAGTCAGGGTTTAGAGCTCACCACAGCACTGAATGTGCACTGGTGGAAGTTACTACTGATATTCTCATGGCCTCTGACAATGGACAGGTGTCTACACTGGTCCTGTTGGACCTCAGTGCTCAGAACGTTAGTAGATACAGAAAAGTATGTTGTTAAATTAGTAGGTTTAAGTGTTTAAAACATTGCAAGAGTGTGGGAAGGGTTTCTAAAGCCTTAACATACTGTATATAAACACTACAATAAAATACTACTACTGCTGCTACTACGTACTACAACTACTACTGTTACTACGTACTACAACTACTACTGCTACTACTACTACTACTACTACTACTACTACTACTACTACTAGGTACTACAACTACTACTACATACTACTACTACTACTACTACTACTGCTACTACTACATACTACTACTACTACTGCTACTACAACTACTACTGCTACTACTGCTACTACTACTACTACTACTACTACTACTACTACGTACTACAACTACATACTACTACTACTACTGCTACTACAACTACTACTGCTACTACTACTACTACTACTGCTACTACTGCTACTTCTTGTGTACATACTGTAATTTTGTTCCATCTTGTGTACCACATGAGATGTAATGACAATAAAGTTTACTTGAACTTGAACTACTATCCCTACTTCATGGTTTTTCACTTATTGCGCTCGGGGGCGGAGTGTCCCTAACACCCGTGATAAACGAGGGACTGCTGTAAACCACTTCTGACCACCACCCAGCAGCGGCTCATTATTCTGGAAACCTTTCAGACGTCCCGGTCCACCTCAGACCTCCGTGTTTTACACTTGTTGTCAGTTGCTGCAGCCACGTCCGCCTTTTGTTTCCATTTTAATAAAATAAAAAAGTTTATATTTTACTTATAGTTCTCCGAGTCAGCCTGTATTTAGGGCCAACCTACCCGACCGTGATATTTCTCGTGAATTAAACTGTTTTTGTAGTTTTCAGTTTAAACGTGAACAGAAATCATGTCAGCAATAACTCCATGTGTCTCATTTAACCTTCAGTCACTCAGAACAGGTGTGTTGTCATTAAGTTGTTCCTGACAGAGAGCAGAGGAGGTTTTGACCCAGCATGCATTGCTTCATAGATAAGCACTAACAGCTGTGGATGGCCTCAGCCTGATTCACAACATTTAAATGTGAAGAGGATAATGAAGAAAGCTCACCTTCCATGGTGGAGATGAACTCTTTCTCTCCGTCGCTGTTCGTGGACAGGACTTTGTAGAACTTCTTCAGTTTGGCATTTCTGCTGTAGTTCTGTAAGTTCACACACACGTGTTTGTATGTATGTTGACTTTGATTTACCGTAACAACCAGACTACTACTTGTTTCACACACTTGGACCACCACAGCTTTTACAATGCTGCGGCTAATTTATGGATTTGTTTCTTTATTTTTTGTCAGGCTAATGAGCTTCATGCCGCACCACATTTAACCTCGTCACACCCGGGCGCTCACATAGCTCTATAAGAATAAACTGAATTAAATTGAATTGAATTGAAGTGCGGTCTATATATGTACAAAATCTATCTTCTTTTTAAACTTAGTGAGCACGGCTTATATTCAGATGTGCTCAGTAGTCTGGAAATTACAGTAATTTGTGGTATAATCGCTCAACAGTGTAGCAAAAACAGGAAGAAATGTAGAAACAATGTGATGGAAATGTTTTTATAAAAAATATTTTTAACAGGCGTGTTTTGTCTTGCAAAAGCAGACTAAGCAAAAAACTGAAACTCTGGAACGAGACAAGAATATCCATGTCCTTCAGATAAAGGTGGATCTTGAATAATACCTGCCGATAATACGGCTTCAATCTTTAATAGTTAAACTGCTACAGATCATGCATGTCAGTGCAAACATCCGTCATCTAAACTTGTTACAGCTATGATGTGATCAGCGGACTAAAAAAAGCTGCATTAAACTTCTCCAAATGTCTCATCTACACCATTAAGTTTCAGATTGGATGACCCCTCCCTCACTGGCCAATACAGACATGGTGGCCCAGTGGAAAGATGTTGGAGGGTTTGATCCCCCTTCCATGTCTCAGACATATTCAGATTCCTCTTACGGAGTCAGAAGAAATACCTGTATATTCAAAGTTTTGAGCAGGATGGTTCCAGGTATCCACTTGACTACATATGAAGAGTTCATAGGACTCAAATAGCTTCTAGTTGTCTATACTAAAAGCTTTAATGTTTCTCACTTGCTCAAAAGTAAAAAAAAAAAGTTAGTCTGAATTAGTGTAAGTCAGTTTCTCACTGAGCTGCTGCTGTTGGAGACTACTTGACAAAGAGCAGGGAGGTCCAGATATCTCTTTCCACAGCCACCTCTTCCACGTCTTCGGGGAGGACTTTAAGGCTTTCCCAGGCCAAATGACAGACGTAGTCTCCCCAGTGTATCCTGGTGTTACCTGGGGTCTCCTCCTAGCTGGACATGCCTGAAGCACCTCCCTAGGGAGGCGCCATGGGAGCATCTTGAATAGATGTCCGAATCACCTCAACTGGCACCTCTCAATGTGGAGGAGCAGCGGTTCTACTCTGAGTCTCTCCTGATAACTGAACTTCTCACCCTGTCTCTAAGGGAGAGTCCAGCTACCCTGCAGAGGAAACTCATTTCAACCTCCTGGATCCACAATCTTGTTCTTTCAGTCACTACCCAGAGTTCATGACCAGAGGTGAGGGGAGGAACGTAGACTGACCAGTAAACAGAGCTTTGTCTTACAGCTCAGCTTCCTCTTCACCACAACGGACCGGAACAGAGTCTGCAATACTGCAGATGCTGCGCCAATCTGTCTCAATCTCACGCGCCGTTATTCCCTCACTCATGAACAAAACCCCGAGATACTTGAACTCCTCCACTTGAGGCAGAACCTCAACCTCAATCTGAAGAGAACAATCCACCCTTTTCTGTCTGAGGACCATGGCCTCAGATTTGGAGGTGCTGATTCTCATCTCAGCCGCTTCACACTCGACTGTGAAGTGCTCCAGTGAGAGCTGAAGATCACGGCACGATAACGCCAACAGGACCACATCATCTGCAAAGAGCAGAGATGAATCCTGAGGCCACTGAACCGGACTCCCTCCAACCCCTGGCTGCACCGAGAAATTCTGTCCATAAAAGTTATGAACAGAATCTGTGACAACAGGCAGCCCTGGAGGAGTCCGACTTACTGCCGGAACCAAACTCTTGCACCGCTTGTACAGGGACTGAACAGCCTGTAGCAACAGGATTCCAATCCCATACTCATGGAGCACCCCTCACAGTGTACTTTGAGGAACACGGTCAAATGCCTTCTCCAAGTCCACAAAACACATGTAGACTGGATGGTCAAACTCACATGACCCCTTGAGGATCCTAGTGAGGGTAAAGAGCTGATCTAGTGTTCCACGGCCAGGACAGAACCTGCATTGTTCCTCCTGGATCTGAGGTTTGACCAATGATCAGACTCTCTTCTCCAGTACCCCTGAACAGACCTTACCAGGGAGGCTAAGGAGAGTGATGCCCCTATAATTGGAGCACACCCTCCAGTCCCCCTTTTTGAAGAGGGGAACCACCACCCCAGTCTGCCAGTCCAGTGGTACTGCCCTGATGTCCACGCAATGTTGTAAAGGCGTGTCAACCAGGTGTACTCAGGTAGGTTAAATCATACGTGTTGGTGGTTGCCAAGATTTATAGTGGGGTGAGGTGGGTACAGTGTGGATGGAGATGAGCTAAAACAATAATGTGCACAGTCCAGCTTACATGTTTTCTAGTTGTTCACACAAAAAATAGGTTGTGATTTTCTAGAACTGGTCACTCGTGGCTTGCTGATCGCAAACACTCAGAATTCTGAGACACGTCTCCAGCAGTTGAAGCTCAGTGAGGTTCTACCTTTAGAACTGTTTAAAGACTTTGTGGACTATTTATTTTGTTTTCTGCCTCATTTATTTGCAATGACCAGTTACAATCTATGGATGCTCTAAGCATTAAGCCATGGTGCTGAAGCTCAATGTCATTATTTTCTGTTTGAAGCAGAGCTGGTTGTAGGACTCTCATCAGACTGGGTACGAGTTAGAACCTTTCAGTCTTGGAACACGAGTTAGAGTTAGTGAAAAAGGAGAAACTATCACAGGAGGTGACACTACTCTCCAGGACAGGGAGTAAAGAACTACCTGCATTGAAAGACTCCATCTGTGAAAGTTGGAAGTGATGTTTTCATCAGCCAGAGACTGCAGCAGATCTTTGGGAAAACCCTGGAACAAACGGCTGTACTGAGCCACTGCGACAAAGAGAGAGCAACAATCAGACAAGTGAAAACTCAGAAAAAGAAATTGAACCTCCATAAAAGACCAGAACATCTGCACAGATCACTGTTTGTTTCATTGTTTGTGAAAATGGATGTCCTGACGTCTTCAATCTGCTCGACTAAAAGAACAGAAGACAGCTGCAGAACGTGCTGATGCTGCTCTATAATCCAGGTAGATAAATCTAACCAGCTTGAGTCAGGTCCTCTGGATGGATTCTTCTTTTGTTGTTAAGATGAAACGTTTCAACAAAAGAAGAATCCGACCAGAAGACCTGACTCACCCTTGTTAGATATGTGCACAATGTAAACAGGCATTTCTGAAATCTGACCAGATTACTATGAGAGCTGTAAAAAATATGTATCCACTTTATTATGGGGGTTCTGCTGTATAAATGATTATGGTACAACTTCCTGTCAGACAGGAAGTAGCTGTCAGCACTGGTTAACTATGATAGAGGAACACAGACCACAATTTATTTTAAAGTAATTTACATTCAGTTTAACAGATAAAACTCTGATTTTGTTTTGTTCACATTTAACAACCATAAAGTTTACTAAAAGAGCCGTGCTGCGTTCAGGTACCTGTTGTGTTCACGGCTGCAGAACAACCAGAACAAACTAAATCAGTGGCTCCAACAACAGAGTTTGAACACGGACCAAAACAAAGAGTTCCTGTGAAAACACGTTTAGTTTCATCTCCTACCTACAGATGAGGAATTAAGAAGAATGTGGATGAAACATCTGAACTCGAAGAGACCACCTAAACTCTGCATGTGAGCTCATTTCACTTTGATGACAAACGGCCGACGGAGGAAAACCTGCATCCTACTTTGTGTCTGGACGACAATAAACCACCGGAGAAGAGACGCCGGATCCTCAGAAGGATTGAAAACAGTGACGAGAACATCAGGGATGATTTCAGGTGTATGGAGGTCACAGCTTTATATATTTGTTCATCTTCAGTTTTATGATTTTCTCTGTAATGAACCCAAGCTCAGTGATGGAGGACTTTAAGACTTTGTCTGGACTCTGTGTCTGATTTAAGGTCAATAAGATTGTGTCCCACCTCTTTCAACAAAACACCGCCGACCTTATTACTGTGGAGACACTGATACACTCAGAGCTTCTCAGGTTGTTCATCGCTTCACCGTCAGAAGAACTGAGTCAGTGGAGTAGTTAAATATGCTAGTAGATGTAGCTAAATATGCTAGTAGATGTAGCTATATAAGCTAGTAGATGTAGCTATATAAGCTAGTAGATGTAGCTAAATATGCTAGTAGATGTAGCTATATAAGCTAGTAGATGTAGCTATATAAGCTAGTAGATGCAGCTAAATATGCTAGTAGATGTAGCTATATAAGCTAGTAGATGTAGCTATATAAGCTAGTAGATGTAGCTAAATATGCTAGTAGATGCAGCTAAATATGCTAGTAGATGTAGCTATATAAGCTAGTAGATGTAGCTAAATATGCTAGTAGATGTAGTTAAATATGCTAGTAGATGCAGCTAAATATGCTAGTAGATGTAGCTATATAAGCTAGTAGATGTAGCTAAATATGCTAGTAGATGTAGCTAAATATGCTAGTAGATGTAGCTAAATATGCTAGTAGATGTAGCTAAATATGCTAGTAGATGTAGCTAAATATGCTAGTAGATGTAGTTAAATATGCTAGTATTCAAGCGTCTTTGAGTATTTAGGAAAGAGCTATACAAATAAAATGTATTATTATTATCAGTAGTTGTAGCTGTGATCTGCAGCCACTTCTTCAGCTCGTCCTCAGCAGCAGCGGTCTGATCATATTGTCCTGTTGGAGCTCTGACAGGTGGTGTTCCTACATGTTTAAATTAAATCCATGTTGCTCAGAGAAACTACATCAGCTCGTACTGTTCCACAGAAACAAAAAACGGTTCTGGTCCGCGCCGGAAGTCGCGCCCATAATGCACACAAGGCAGCATGGGGGTAGGAATAAGGTCGATGGCATTCAAGTAGGATCCAACACCGTCATGGTGCACTGCTGGCAAACTCCAATAAAAAAATGAAAAAACACCAGACTTTCACTGACACTTTCACATTCTTGTTTCCAAGGATTATTGTTTTATCAGGCAGTGAAATCAAAGCAAACTGTACTACCTGGGGTGAAAGTAAGAGGCAGAGCCACAGCCTTGGTTCTGGTCAGAGTAAGAAGGTTTTTTCTGGCTGTGACGACAGAGAACAGCTGCAAGCCCTGACACGTGCCCCAGATAGGAAAGTAGTCCCCAACATCATTGGCCTGCAGTGCGAAACAAATACAGGGTTAAAATTATTATTTTAAAGAAGGTGTAATGCTATTTTTGTTCATTTGGAGCGTGGCAGCCTCGTCTGCATGTCGTACCCTCAGAGCCAAGTTGTAAAAGATCCTGGCAGCTCGACTGAACAGTGATGTCTGAAGGTCCACGTCTCCTCCAGGCAGCAACAACCTGAGGAAATACACCGTGAGTGCAAATACATTCATTCTAACTTTAAAGCACTTGATGTGCGTTAACATATTCATGCTCCCTGTATAAAACGCTGTTCACCTCCAGAGTTTTTAGCCAAAGTGCATAAATATATGTTTACCAAAGGATCAGTACAAACAACTGGTTCATTTTTATTTTCTTATGCCCTGACACAGTATCTGAAAAGGCCTTGGATGGACTGATGCAACATGACTGATTAAAAATATCAAAGCACACTTATACTACTGACCCTGCTATGGTGTCATACTGGTTCTGCCGTGGACTGGGAGTGTTTCAGACCCAAGGTGTAGACACAGAGGCAGATTAATGAGGAAACTGAAGGTTTAATGAAGAAATAACAAAGCTGGTAGGGCAGAAAAAATGACAACAAACAGATTCAAATTTGGATTTATTGTCATTCAAACCGACGGTGGCACAGTTGGTAGAGTTGCTGCCCCTCAGCAAGCAGGTCCCTGGTTCAAATCCCAGCCAGGGGGCCTTTCTGGGTGGAGTTTGCATGTTTTCTCTGGGCATGCGTGGGTTTTCTCCAGGTACTCTAGTTTCCTCCCACAGATCAAAAACATGCATGTTAGACTGACTGGTAACTCTAAATTGTCTCTAGGTCAGAGAGAGTGAATGGTTGTTTGTCTCGTTTGTCTCTATGTGTCCCTGTGATGGACTGGAGACCTGTCCAGGTGTCCCTGTGATGGACTGGAGACCTGTCCAGGTGTCCCTGTGATGGACTGGAGACCTGTCCAGGTGTCCTCTGCCTCTTGCACAGTGTTGGCTGGATATGGGCACCATTCACCCCCACGACCCAAAAAAGGAAGAAGCGGGTCAAGATATTGGATGGATGGATGAATGAATGGATGGATGGATGGATGGATGGATGTCATTCAAACCTCTGAGAAGAATGAAACAGACTTCCACAGTTCGGTGTATAACAACAAAATAAATAGGCAAAGCCAAGTACGCTCAACTAAATAAATCTAAAACGGTCACAGGTAAGATAAAAACCAGCGTAAAATAAGAGATCTGTGCAGCAGAGCGACAGAAGAGGAGCAACAATGAGCAACAAGAGTTCCCAACAGGTCCACGGGCTAATGCGGCCATAAGACACATTAATGAAGTGCTGACCCAGAGAATAGAGTCTGATGGAACAGGCTCAGTTAAAACTTTGAGTTAGTCACCCTAGGTGAGGAGAAACTTCATTTTTCTGTTTCAGAAGGACGGATACATCATGCATTGAGTCCATCACCATGGTAACAGACTCTGTGAAGCAAACCGTGAATTTATTCTCATTCAGAGATAAATTCTTGATTTGAACGGCATCAGTTTTCATCAGAATTGCTCACTGCACTCAGTAACTCCACATATTCAACGTAGCACCTGGACACATACCTGAGGTCAGATTTAGATCTTGCTCAAAGGAACTTAGATGATCTTAGCTCTAACTAAAAGGCTGACATACCCAACAAAAATGCAACAATATTGTTTTACATAAATATATTCAGTCAAAAAGTCAGCTGGAATGTTTATTTCTGATTGCACTGGCTAAAAAAGGTACTGGTTTTTATTTGTTGGAGCAGCTTTGGAGGCAAAGCTGAAGCTCTGAAGAAATGCATCGAATCAATGTTTCCAGGTTACAAACTAATTTATTATTTATATTATTTGTTATCTGATTTAATTATTTTTTCAACAGCAGAATAAACACTCATATGATATTAAAAAAGACCAACTCACCCATTGATTGAGTGGAATAGTTCCGTGTATTCCTCCTCTGTGCGGTTAATTCTGGTAAACAACAACAGCAGAGAAATCAACCCCCAAAAGACTTTTCCAGTCACCTTAAAATTCAAAAGACTTTTTAAAATTTTGAATAAATGCAGTGAGTTAAATGAAATAAGACAAATAAAACTAAATAAAAATGTGAATGTGAAATAAGAAGATAAAGGTTAAAGGATCTAAATTCTATACTAAACTAGATGAAATTGACTGATGCACCTCAGACTCCGCCCACATTGATGCAGCCCTGCCCACATTAATACAGATTTGGCACTGGCACTGACGGTGCTACCACTAAACATGACATCTGTACATGTGAGTAGTCGTACTGGTTTTAGTTCTTCACATATTCTCCTGTAAGACTCCTACAAAATGAACGTTAAAAAAATGAACGTTAACAAAATGAACGTTAAAAAAATGAATGTTAAAAACATAATTTATAAAACTAAAAGCCTCTGGAATACAAAGTAAAGCTGATTATTCAGGAGTGTAACAGAAACATGTAGCGTAGAATCTTACAGGAACGTCTTGTAAATGAGTCATCGAGGCTCAGTGAGATTAGCCTGTATAAATAAAGGTTGAATGAATACAGTACCCAGATCCCTGCAGATGTTGGATGCTGCAGATGTTGGATGCTGCAGATGTTGGATGCTGCAGATGTTGGATGCTGCAGATGTTGGATGCTGTCTATCATGGTGCACTAAGATTCATAACTGGCTGTAACTACCGTACCCACCACTGCACCCAGTATCCACTGGTTAACTGGTCACCATTAACTTCACACAGACTCTCCCACTGGTACATCTTCATCTTTAAATCACTTCCTGGTCTGCTGCCTTCATACATCTCCTCCTACATGTCTCTGTGTGAGTGCAGCTACAGCGTGCGCTCTCAGGACATCATTACCTGCAGTGTTCCCTCAGTGAGGACTGAACTAGACAAAAGGACCTTCTCCTACTCCGCTCCTGTTTCCTGGAATATCTTGTAAAAAGATCTGAAGCTCTCGACCTTTGACCTCTCTAAGTGTCTTTAAGAATCTGTTGGACTCCTGGCAGGGTCCAACGCAGACATGTTCCTGTTTTTAGTTTTCTACATTCGCCATAGAATCTGTTTTTGTTACTTTTCTTTAAATACCATTTTATTTTCACTTGTTAAAAAAAAAAATCTCAATTTGTACACGTCCTTTATGGTTGTCCATTGTTGTCATCTTTCTTTGTTAAATCAGGTCTCTCTTGTAAATGAGTCCCTGAGGCTCAATGGGACTAACATGTAGAAATAAAGGTTGAATGAAAAGTATTACTGGTGTACATTTGTGTTACTGGGCAACAATGCATGCCATTCATCAATGAACAAATTGTTAATATTACACATTTAATGAAGCCGGCTCGACTTGGATGCATTTGACAAAATGTTTTTGAAGTACAAATGCCTTTAGTTAAGACTTGATGGTCAAAAAGTAAATATGGAGAGAATGTCCTTCAGCTGCCTCACCTGATGGGGACAACTCTGGCTCCTCCGCTTTCCAGGAATTTCACATAAGAGGCAGCGATGTAAGAAATCCCCTGAGCGAACTGGTCTCCTGGAAAGTTTTCTTGTGCTAAAACGCCTAAAGAGAGAAGAGATCACATGAGGTAAATAGAGCTGGTCACAGCCAGCTTCGATGGGGGAGGGGCTTAGACGTTAGAGAGGGCGAGCCAGCGATCAGGAGGTTGCAAGGTTGAATCCCTGGACTTTTAAGCACCCAGCGTGGGCCTCCCTCCGCTCCACATGTACGGGCTGTGGTGATCTATGGTTGTGTGAGGAAGGACAGTAAGGTGAAGTGTCTTTGTGCGAGTTCAGTTGTGACCCCTGAAGAAGGAGCAGGCGGAAGAAGAAATAAAAATAAAGGAGTGGGCTTATTAAATAAAAAACAGCTGCTTTTATGTTCAGTACAAGCTGCTGGCAAATCTCCATCAAATGTTCTTTTTAAATCAGTAAAGTCGTAAGGCCCAAACGTTGTTGTTCTCATTACAATAAATGAGCTGGCACCAAATTGTTACGTTAACGAGATTTAAATCAACTTCCTGCACCTGAGCCTGATTCACTGCTCTTCCTGATGATGATGATGATGATGATGGATGAATGTGGACTGTCTAAAATCGCCTCCTGACCATCTGATGCGTTCACGTGACGGGTTGAGTCGTAACGTGCACGTTGTTTTAGAGAAAGTAGCCTGAAAACCTGTCATTCATTTGCTCACCTCAAAGTTTTTGTTTCTGTCAAGTTCACACCATCCTTCAACCTGTTCTGGAGGACCAGCAGGTTCTGAAGAACCATTACATGATTTTATTTAAGCGTGTGTTGAATCATAATGGAAACTCTGTGAAACATCAGCTTCTTCAAACCAGACCAAAAAAACCAGCTTAAATCTTATTCATGAGCAGGAGAGGCAGAGAAAACAGATTCTGATGAAACAAAAGTCCAACCATCACTGACTGATGCTTTCAGCTGTTCTTATATCAAGTCCCCCCCCCCCCCCCACACACACACACACAATCCCCATTAACCCCCACGGACACTTTGTTTCTAGAAGCTTCTCATAAATGTCCTAAGAGCTGAAAGGACCGGCTGAGGTCCATCTGCAGCAGCTTTTACCGATGATGGGTCTCTGATGGAGCTGCTGGCTGCTCGCCGCTGCGCACAGGATCGGTCCGGTCCAGAAGAACATGCAGGCGCTCAGCACCGCCTCAGACAGCCGGTACATCATGGTCCGGTCCAAAACCACGAGAGCTCAGAACCACCGGAGGGAAGGATGGAATGGAAGCTGCCGTTTGACAGAACCTGCTGAAAAAACAGTCTGACAGAAGATGCTGAGAAGATGCTGACTGACTGACTGACTGACTGTCTGGCTGACTGTCTGACTGACTGACTGACTGTCTGACTGACTGTCTGACTGTCTGACTGTCTGACTGACTGACTGACTGACTGACTGTCTGTCTGACTGACTGACTGACTGACTGACTGTCTGACTGACTGACTGACTGACTGACTGACTGTCTGACTGACTGACTGACTGACTGACTGTCTGACTGACTGTCTGCTGCCTCTGTCCTCCTCTGACTCCTCACCTCCCTCCCTCAGAGCAGCACGTGTCACTGAACACTTGCAGGATGTTCCACTTCCTGTTAGGAGTGCACGTGTCTGAAATTTACAGACGTCTAACCATGCAACACCAAACCAGGTCTAACAGCTTCAAATACAGACAGACAGACAGGCAGGCAGGCAGACAGACAGGCAGGCAGACAGACAGACAGGCAGGCAGGCAGGATTTCTTCTTCTGTCTCATATTTGTTGTGAAGACTTTGTTTTCATAAAAACAGTTCTTTTTAAATTGTATGTTTGAAACTTCTTGTCCTCAGTTCTGCAGCTGAGCAGAAGAAATAAAGTTTTTTTTTTTTACTGTACATCTTTGTACATTATTCCAACTCTTATCGTTGTTGCCACTCTTGCTCAAGTTCTCTTCAGTTGAGTCATTTCCTTCCTTGTGTGTTTTTAGTTCTTGCATTTTGTTCCTTTTCTTATTGCCACAAGTTTTTATTTTGCATCATTCTGAGAGACCACACACACACACACACACACACGCGCGCGCGCGCACGCGCACACACACACACACACACACACACACACACACACAGAAGTTGCATAATTCATCAAGAATGTTTATGGTTTGATGTAAACTGAGAAGTAAATGGAGAGACATAAAAGGGATGAATAAGAATTAATGCTATAGAATGTAAAAATTTTTAAACTGTTGTATAAGTTAAATATATGGAATTATTTAAGAGATACTTTATAAAATGAGAACAAACATGACAAACATGCAAAGAAAGAAACAAGAGGAAGAACGTAGGTAAAACATCATCATAGGAATAAAATAACTGTTCATTTTTAGTATCATTGATTGGCCTAGTGATCAGTTTTTGATAAAACTCGTTGATTTTGTTTCCAACGATCACTTAAATAAACTCTTCATTTGCACTTTAAATTTGTTCTTTGTTTTGACATCTGGTCAGAAACCAGTAGCGAGGTGAAAAGTGCACGTTTGCCTTTTGTGTTTGTGGAAACAGGGTTGAGTTTTAGACTGAATCATGCAGAAAAACAGTGTATATATGTATAAATGTGGCCTGGAGGTCTGGGAAAAGACAGTCCACCCTGAGTCAGTCAAAAACATCACAGTCTGTGAGAGAAGTGTTATTCCTCTAAATGTTGAAATAAAAGTGCACGTGCACACGACGTGCAATGAGCTAAATCTGCAGAAGAGAGCGAGCCTTAAAGAGTGTCTCCTTGGATGTGTGTTCATGTGACTGAGTCAGCACTTAGCTGTGCAGACTGTATTTATGAGCAGGTTCTGTTAATCTGCAGCATTTTGCAGACCTGCAGTGATAAACTGACCACCAGAGGGCAGTACCCCCCACCAAACTGACCACTACTTCCTGTTCTGTAGTTCAGTACAATAACAGCAAAAACTTTATTCTTCCTATACTATAACTGAACAAGTTAACAGGACTGATTTATTTAATAAAGACAAATGTGTTAAACATTTAAATCACTGAAAGAATTATAAGTTGTTATTGTTTTTATATTACATCTGTTTTAATTGTTATGAAATTTGTCCCATATTCACAGAAAACACAATATATTTTTTATTTTTTTATTATTAAAGAAGGAGCATTCCTTGAAGGAACACATGTCACCCTCACGTTGTTTGAAAATGTTTTAAACAAAGTCTCCTGGAGCTCAGAGGATGAGGATGAATCTACTGCAGCAACACATTTAGCTCAATAAAGTCATGTTTGTGTTTGGTGAGGTCTAGCTGTGGCAGCCATTTTAAACCTGGCTGGCTCTGAAAGTTAATCAGTTGTAGATGAACATCCAGTGATTCTGTTCAGAGAGTTTCATTAAGATCTGCTGACTGTTCATGAGATATTAAACAGACACATTACTACACACACACACACACCCACACACACACTCAGACACATGATCATCTGCCTTTTATGGCGACGGAAGATAAATTGTTGTATTTGTGAGAACAACTCGAGGACATTTGTTTTGAAGTACAGAAGCTGCTGCAGTTCTATAAATCCAGAGTCAGTTTACGTTCAGAGAACCTGATGGGTACCAAGGTCGAGTTGATTTGAACAGAAGAAGTCGTCTCAGCAACTGATTGTTGACATTCTGTAAAAGAAATTCATAGACAGTCTCTGACCTTTATCACCAGCCGCAGTCAGACTTGTCACCATGGGAACAAAATGTTGGAGGATGAGGTCATCACTTTCTGTAGTGCCAAATTATAGTTTCACTACACACTGCATCACAGGTGTTGGTGATGTTCACATATACCAAGATGTAGTGTGTGTCACCAGGAAGTGGCACAGCCAGGGCCTCACCTGCCACCTGGGGTGCACCCAACACTGCCAGCTCTCTGCAGCTTGTAGCTCCACAGGAAGGTGACTCTACTGGCTCTTTGCTCCCGTCTCAACTCTCATCGGCTCTGCACGACAAAACCGGTGGGCCGTGTTCCAACATCTTGGGATCTTTTTGGGCCCCAGAAGCCAACACTCGACCACCAAGTACTAGCTCAAGCCTTGATGGAGCTTGAAGCTCCTTCCACTCCTGGCTTAGTGAAAGGTGGAATGCACTAATGTCAGTGAGTCTCTGCCTCATGCAGAGCAGGTCAAGTATCTGAGAGTCCTGAAAGGGCCCAGTAGAAAAGCTAAGATCTCTGTTTGCTGGCCTGTCTTTGATTCATCCTTCACCTGTGCTCATGAAGTTAGGACTGAAAGAAGGAGATCCTGGGTACCGGCAGCAGAAATGAGCTTCCTTCATGGGGGTCTGGGCTCAGCCTTGGAGAAAGGGTGAGGACCTCTGTCGTCCCGGGGGAGTTCTGAATAAAACTGCTGCTGCTCTGTTTTGGAAGAAGTCAGCAGATGTGGTACCTGGGGGCCTCTCTGGAAGTTTTCCAGGCTGATCTCACGTCACCCTAATCAGACCCAGAACTCACTGGAGCAGGACACTGGAGGTGTCCTCTCTGGCCCTGAAACACCTTGAGACCCCCCAGGAGGAGCTTGTTGCCTCCGATGGATGGATTGATGGATGGATGGATGGATGGATGGATGGATGGATGGATGAATGGATGGATGCATGGATGGATGGATGGATGGATGGATTGACGAACCAACAACAGACTGACAGACAGACAAATGAATGGATGGATGGATGAACGAATGGACGTATGGCCAAATGGATGAACAGATGGACAGACAGATGACTGGACCAATGGAAAGATAGACGGATGAATACAAGGACAGATGGATGGATGAATGAATAAATGAATGGACAGATGGATGGAAAGATGGATGATGGATGGACAGATGGATGATGGATGGACAGGTTGATGGATGGACAGACAGACAGATGGACAGATAGATGGACAGATGGATGGATAAACAGACGGACAGACAGATGGACAGATGATCAGATGGACAAACAGACGAACAGACGGATGGACAGATAGATGGATGGACAGATGGATGGAC